GGCTCACGGCAACCTCCACCTCCTGGGTTCAAGTGATTGTCCTGCCTCAGCATCCCGAGTAGCTAGGATTATAGACATGTGCCACCATACCCGGCTAATTTTGTATTTTTAGTAGAGACGTGGTTTCTCCATGTTGGTCAGGCTGGTCTTGAACTCCTGACCTCAGGTGATCCACCCGTCTCAGCCTCCCAAAGTGCTGGCATTAGAGGTGTGAGCCACCATGCCCAGCCTTTTTATTTACTTTTTTTGAGACGGAGTCTTACTCTGTCACCCAGGCTGGAGTGCAGTGGTGTAATCTCAGCTAACTGCAACCTTCACCTCCCAGGCTCGAGCAATTCTCCTGCCTTAGCCTCCCGAGTAGCTGAGACTACAGGCGCCTGCCACCATGCCCAGCTAATTGTAGTATTTTTAGTAGAGACAAGGTTTCACCATGTTGGTCAAGCTGGTCTCGAACTCCTGACCTCAAGTGATCTGCCCGCCTCAGCTTCCCAAAGTGCTGGGATTACCAGTGTGAGCCACCACGCCTGGCCTTATCCTGACTTTTTTGAGATGGGGGGGGGTCTCACTATGTTGACCAGGCTGGTGTCGAACACCTGGCCTCAAGTGATCCTCCCACCTAGGCCTCCCAAAGTGCTGGAATTACAGATGTGAGCCTCCATGGCTGGCCTGGAATCCCTTTTCTTTCTCCTCTCTAGTCTTCAGGGAAAACCTTTAAGGAACCTTCCTTCCTGCTAGGTGGAGCTGATTATCTGGTTGGTTACGTTTCCACGGGATTGAGCATCATTCTGGCCAGACTTTGGAACCCATCTCACCCTGGGCCCCACTACCCTTGTCCCATGTCCTGTGGATGGCGGTGAGCCGAGTAGGGACAGGAGAAAACACCTCTTGGCAAGTGTTTTCCCACAGAGGCCTATGCTGCTCTTGCATGTCCTGGGCCTCAGGGACCAGCCTCGGTGACTAGCAGGTTTTCAGGCTGTTTCGATTCATGCGGGAGCCCTGCCCTTTATAGGACACCCCATTCAGACCACCTCTCTCCTTCCCAGAGGGTCCTGGGTTATGTGTGTGTGTGTGTGTGTGTGTGTGTGTGTGTGTGTGTGTGTGTGTGTGTGTGTGTGTGTGTTTGTTTTCTGGTTTCATTTTGTTTTGTTTTTGTTTTTTGAGACAGCCTCTATTGCCCAGGCTGGAGTGCAGTGGTACAATCATGGCTTACTACAGTCTCAACCTTCTGGGCTCAAGCAATCCTCCCATCTCAGCCTCCCAAGTAGCTGAGACTACAGGCATGTGCCACCACACTTGGCTAATGTTTTTTGAGTTTTTTTTTCTTTTGGTAGAGATGGAGTCTTGCTTTGTTGCCCCAGCTGGGCTCCAGTGTGCAGAACTGCAAAGGGGGCGGAAAATGGGGGAGGGACCAAGGTCAAGGGTCAGGGCCAGTGTGTTGGGCCAAAAGGAGGTGTGCTTAAGAGATGGGGGTGGCCCCTGTATGACATTCCTCCAGAATATGGTGGCCTCCTCCAGCCTTCTCCAAAGGGGTCTCCAAGTGTTTGCTGTCCTGCAATGGGTTTTCTCCTTGTTAGGGCTGCATGAGTCCCCAAGGCCTGGGGATCTGGGCAGGGCCCCAGCAGCTGGTGGTCTGTTTTCCTTTACCCCAAGGGAGGAGGGGTAGGGAGGGAGTCTGGGGAGCAGGTGGGATGGAAGGGGGCAGAGGGAAGACTTAGGTTTACACACCTGTACTGTGAGCTCCCCCTGCCCCGTCTTCCAGCCCAGGTATGCCCAGCAGCCTGGCTCCCTGCATTCCTCGGCCGGGCTTGGATGCTGGTGGTCCTCTACCTGGCCTGGCTCTATTGGGATAGAAACACACCCAGGGCTGGAGGCCAAAGATCTGCCTGGGTTCGCAACTGGGAAGTTTGGAGACATTCCCGTGACTACTTTCCCCTCTTAGTGAGGACCTCGGGCAGTGGGGTACTGGGTGCAGTTGGGGCTTCAGAATAGACTCTTGGGACCACCATCTCCCAAAGTGCAATCTCACTGTTGGGGTGGGGTGCGCCCCTCTGCTCCCCAGCTGGTTAAAACTGCAGAGTTGCACCCCTCCTGGAACTTATTCCTTTGGCTTCCACCCTCACGGGGTCCTGGTTGTGGGAGCCTTCGCCAACCTCTGCACAGAGCCCACGGGCTTCTCCTGCCTCCTCCCCGAGCTCCGGCCACACCCACTCATGCTGCCTTGTTGGTTCCATTTCCCTTTCTTCTGGGACTACATCATGTCAGATGGTGAGAAGAGGGGGACCTTGCTGCTGTCCCACCATCTTCCTCCTGGGAGGCTCTGGGACCCAGTTCTCTCTTCCCCATGCCCTCTCCGCTCTTCTTTCCAAGTCCTAGGCTTTGGCTGGGTGTGGTGGTTCTCACCTGTAATCCCAGCACTTTGGGAGGATCACTAAAGGCCAGGAGTTCAAGACCAGCCTGGGCAACACGGTGAAACCCTATCTCCACATGTACAACAAAAAACAAAAACAAAAATTTAGCCAGGTGTGGTAGTACACACCTGTGGTCCCAGCTACTGGGAGGCTTGAGATGGGAGGATCACTTGAGCCCTGAAGGTCAAGGGTGCAGAGAACCAAGATCAGGCCACTACACTCCAGCTTGAGCAACAGAGCAAGACTCCATCCCCAAATAAATAAATAAGACCCAGGCGTCGAGTCCCCCAACTTCTGCCCTCTCCCCAGGTCTGGTCTCCTCTGACAAGGCCAGCACTGCCTCAGGGGTGGCCAAGTGTCCGTCCTGGCCGTGGGAAGGCCCCTGGAGGCGCTGGTGGCAAAACTCGGAGCACAGAGCTTTCCGATTCGGAATCAGAAGGGATTCGTTAAGTCAGCTCTGGAACTCGGGTGAGGACCCGAGCGTGGCCCGGTGGGGACTCCAGGGATGCCGGGCCGGGGAGGAGGAGAGCGGCGCCATCCGCGGACCCCGGGGCCAGGAGTCAGCCGCGCCCTGCTCCCCCGCGGCCTCCCTGGTGCCTGTCTTCTCCAGTGAGAACGAGCTCTTCCAGCAGTTCCCGAACCCGCCGGGCTCATGTTGCGGAGGGCGAAGGAGGCGCTGCATCCGCTGCTAAGCGTGGCCTTGCCGCTGTTCCTTGGCCGCCGGGGCCTCCAGCTGCCCTTCCGCGCGCCCATCCGCACCGTCGGTGAGCCCCTGCCTCTGTCCCGCGATTCCTGCCCTGTGCCCGCTCCCTCCCCGTCCCGCGTTGGTGCCTCGCCACCCAGACTGGCCTTTGGCCACCGCGCCAGCCCTGAACTCTGTCCCCGCCGATCCCCGCGGGCGGAAGGGAGAGACGGAGGAAGGGAGGGGAGGGGGCGGGCCGGGGATCTCAGTCCCGATCGCGTCCGGTCCCGCCCGCTGTGAGGGCGGCGATTCCAGTGCCCCAGAGCCCCCAGCCCAGCCCGGCCCAGGTGGACTGGCTGCAAGCAAGCTACGTGGAGCAACTCACGCAGTCTTCGAGGCGCACAAGGCGCGCTATGATGTCCCCGCCGACAGGCACATGGTCCTCCACCTAGGCGCGCCCCACCGCCTGGCCTCGCCTGTCCCCTGGGTGACTGCGGGTGGAGGAGTGAAATTAAAGACTGGCCGCTGGGCGCGGTGGCTCACCCCTGTGATCCCAGCACTTTGGGAGGCCGAGGCACGTGGATCACTTGAGGTCAGGAGTTCGAGACCTGCCTGGCCATCATGGTGAAACCCCATCTCTATTAAACATACCAAAAAAAAAAAAAAAATAGCTGGACGTAGTGGCGCGCCTGTAATCCCAGCTACTCAGGAGGCTGAGGCAGGAGAATCGTTTGAACCCAGGAGATGGAGGTTGCAGTGAGCCGAGATGGTGCCACTGCACTCCAACTTGGGTGATGGAGTGAGACTCCATCTCAAAAAAAGGAAGGAGGAGGAGGGGAAGGAGGAGGAGGAGGAGGAGGAGAAGAAGAAGAAGGAGAAGGAGAAGGAGAAGGAGAAGGAGAAGGAGGAGGAGGAGGAGGAGGAGGAGGAGGAGAAGAAGAGGAGAAGGAGGAGGAGGAGAAGGAGGAAGAAGAAG